CTAGGCAGCTTCCAGATGCATAAATAAAATCATAAAAATATATACAAAAATTATAACATCAGCTAAGAAATAATATATTAGTCAAGATGGCAAGAAAAGAGAAAGAAGAAATAATCAAGGATTAACTGGAGGAAAGGCCTGTCCAAACATCCATGTTTTTAGTTGGTTTTTGGAGATACCCAACGAGGGGGCCGCACAAATCATCGGAGGGAAATTGTTCCAGAGACGAGGAGCCACCGCCGAAAAGGCCCAGTTTCTAGTTCTTTCCTTCCGGGCCGCTCTTGGCGTCAGGCTCCTTAGCCTCACCTCCTGGCTTGCACGGGTGACACGGGTAGACCTTGGTGGGAGCAGGCGTTCCACCAAATATCAAGGTCCTAAACCGTTTAGGGCTTTATAAGTAAGCATTAATATTTTTAAGTCAATGCAGAACCGAATGGGCAGCCGATGAAGCGTAGCCAGAATAAGAGAAATATGTTGGTATTTTCTCGCTACATTAAGGAGTCTGGCCGCCTCATTCTGCACCACTTGGAGTTTCCACATCAGCCTCTAAGGCAGTCCCACATAGAGCGCATTACAGTGATATAATCTTGAGATTACAAGCGCATGCACCAAAGTAGTGAGCGCCTCCACATCGAGATAGGGTCGCAGCCAGGCTATGCCAAAGGAGGAAGAAAGCGGTGTGGACCACCGACGCCACCTGCGTTTCCATCCTGAGCGCCGGGTCCAGATGGATCCCCAGTCTGCAAACCCCACTCTTTGCGGCAAGGGTCACCCCCCCCAAATGAGAGAGAGTCACCCAGACCACCAATGGTGGGGGCACCCAACCTCAGAACCTCCGTCTTGTCTGAGTTCAGCCTCAGCCCATTTTCCTGCATCCATTGCAGTACGGTCCCCAGGCAGCGCTGAAGGGACAGGATGGCATCACCTGCAGTTGGTGAAAAGGAGATGTAGAGCTGGGTGTCAACAGCATATTGATGACACAATGCCCCACAACCCCTGATGACCCCACCCAGCGGCCTCATGTAGATATTAAACAGCGTTGGGGAGATAATCGACCCCTGCAGAACCCCACAATTGAGACTCCATAGGACCGAAACACTCTCCCCAAGTTGTACTCTCTGGGGACATTCCCTCAAGAAGGTGCCAGGCAAGCACCAAACCACATGTCTAATGAAAGTAATTCTCAACAGGATCCCAGACTGTCCACTCTCCTCTGTCAGAAAACTGCCCTCTTCCTCCCCCACTTTTAATAAATGCCTTTGTGAGGTAAAATAGCAGTGACCTCATAGAACAGCTCATGAACTGGCACTGCTTGCCTCACACGGCACTTCACTGGAAAAGGGGTTCCTACGAACTAAGGTTTGGAGAAGAGACAAGAGGAGGTCACTTGAGGAGGTCGAGCCGACTCTAGAGGCAGCCCTTTCAGCACTGTGCTGAAATTCAGGATGAACACTTCAGAGGCAACAGGACTTTTTAGACACAGGTATACACACACGCCATACCATGATGCTGACAGTTACGCTTGCGAGTGCAGAGCAAAGAGTTTAGGTTTCGGAGGTGAATGGCTTCAGATGAAGAAAGCGCTCTAGACAGGAGGCGGGAAGAGCTGACAAAGGAGAAAGGAGACTCACGAAAAATGCTATAGTAAGCGAAGCAAAGGAACAGTGTAAGACCGGTGAGAGTAAAACCCCTCTCATGGGAGTGCCGCCTCTCCTGCCTGTTGCCGACAAAGAACGTG